ATTAAGATCCCCCTTCACATTGCTTCACTACGGAAAGGCATGACACTGTGCAAAAATTTTGAGGCACCCCTGAAGGAGCCAGAAGGCACCCTGGTTGAGAAAGGCTGAGTTATAAATACATTGAAAGGTTAAATGAGTTATATATCTGAAGTACATACATGTTTAGACATCAATACATGGCTTTAAAATCCCAAGTAGATTTCTAGGCTTTCTAGATTTCTAGACAAATTACAAAGAACATAACTATGCTGCTATGTACTTTTCAGCTTCCACAGATAACAATGGCTGACTCAACAATTTACACAACAAAATTAAACCCTTAACCTGTCAATGCAAAAGTTTTTTTTTATCTAAGCACTGTAAGTTTAACCAACTTAGAGCTATATGTACCACACTACAATATCTAGCACTGAAAGCTTGGAATACCCAAAGCTAAATTCCCCAGCCTCTACTTCCATTTTTAGGACTTGTTAACACCAAATGCGTTGCATTCCAGAGCGGTAGCTGCTGGAACGCACAGCAATTGCTCAAAAAACCTCCCGCTGTGCTCTGGGGTAAGAGGGGGCGTGACAGTGGATTGAAATCAATGGCGTTGTTCCATTGCCTGGCTTCCGTTCCACTGCAAATGCAAAAAATGCTGCTTGCTTCAATGCCACGCCCCCTCCCGCCCTAGAACGCAGGGGGAAGTTTTGTGAGCGATTGCAGTGCGTTCCAGCAGCTACCGCTCTGGAACGCGCCGCAATTGGTGTGAACAAGCCCTTAAGGTGGCTTCATTCCCCTGCAGGGTCCCACCTGCTCCTGCCTAGAAAAGCAGCCCTGATGTGCCAATGTTCCATTCACAGGCAGTTTGGTGCCCCATGGATGTTTTATTTCCCAACTCTTCCTCCAGGGATTGATTGGCACATGAGCAGGTGAAGAGAGCAGCAGAATTGCAATGCTAACACACATGCATAGGGTGATGGGACATGTACAGCGCATGGAACCTGATGATGTTTACAGTACTTATGGCTTTCTCTCATTGACAGCGCTTTCCTGAACTTTTAGTCAGGAAGCATGCATAGAGGGATTACCTAACTCCCCAAAAAATGGAACTACAGCTGGTGAACAGAACAGCCATCTTGTGAAAGAGCTGCTCGCCTGTGCCTGTGTGTGCATCTTTTCATGTAGGGGCTATGCAGCGGCTCCACAAGGCAGCATAGCCACCCAATAGATGGAAGTGTTTCTTATCGGATCTTGAATACCTTTAGTCCTTTATCAGATCCTGAATTTGTTCTTCTGGAGTATACATTGCGCTGAAAAGAGACGTATGCCGCATTTCTTTCAACATGTAAGTGTGGCTTACATATCACAAATTATGTGTCATGGGTTTAATAACACTTTAAGCCTTAGAGTTTGTAGAACAATCTTGTAAAGAACAATGTTTTTATTACCATACAAAATAGTCAGTAAAATGCTGTTAGCTAATTATTCCTTGGAAAACCACTAAGCGTTTTAATTCCAATTTATAGTATCTACACTTGACAGATTTATGAGCACTGCCATAATCCTAACTTTTCATTTCTAGCTATAATTTGACTTCTAGCTATAATTTAAAATACACTTCTCTGAATTTCATTCATTTATGTTGTGGCTTTATAATGTTTTACTATTTTTTGTAAATTAGCAATTAAAATGGCATAAGTGCTAACAAATGCCTAAAGTGTTGTGTTTGATCAAACTATTTTTGTATGCCGATTATGTCATATGTCATTTTTTGGATAAACAGTTTGGTGAGAGACATGACTGATGGATCGTCGATTTCGTTAAACCCCAATAAACACACAGACTACGCAACATGGATTTTAACGGCCACAGCAGCCCTTTTATTAAACAAACCAACTTTAACAATAACCAAAGTAATAAACCAAATAATATACAAATAAATACTCTTAACGACTGTTGATCTGAGAAGGGGTCTTTGGGTGCCCAACACCCCAAATAAGGCCTCTCCTAAAAACTCCTCCCATGTCTCCAATCAGCTTGAGGACAGTTACTGCTCCCAAGTTCCAAGGGGCCAGGCCCCCCCAACAAATGATGACACCAACAGGGGGAAGCACCCATACCCGCTGATGGCCCCCCATTTGTGTAATTGACTCTGATTTTCAGACCCCCCAAAGACCCCTTAACCTGCCAAGCTGCCATGATATAAAAAGAACCATGCAACCATCATAAACCACAAAATTCAGGGAGGAAGGGGGGGACAATCTGCTTCCTCCATCGATTTTCCAGAAAGAACGCCCCTCAGCCCTTGCAGTTCCAACCCATGCGGCTCCTCCTGGACACCTGACCCCAACGGTAAGAACAGCTAATCCCCATTTATTTTTTAACCCCTTCTCCCGGGACTATTACTCCCCAAAGTCATGTAGCCCCTCCGTTCAGTCTCTCTGGGCATGTCTATATAATAGTGTGACTACTGTATTATTAAGTCTTCGCTGATGAGCCATGTGCTGATATGTCCATATTACTCGAGTTTATCCAGTATACTGCAATCCAGATGACCATGCTAAATTATTACCTGTTGTGATGTTTGGGATAGTTAGCACAAATGGTGAGCGCTTAATGACCAGTCTCTAAGTCGTTTTATCATCAAAAAAGAAAAGTCTTTTATTTCTTCAAGAACAGAACAACGACTTTCTTCAGTAACATCAACATAAGGGTTGCTTGTCTTTCAGCAATAGACAATATGACAATGTCTCACCGACTCAAGATTGCTGCAAAAGCATACATCCTCTGTGTTTGGAATGTCCATTGGCATTATATCGCACAACTGTGTGACTCTGGCACAGTTATAATACTATACTGTTACCTATATGCTTTCAAGCCTTACTAAAAACACTATTTACACTGAAGTTATATAAAACAGTATATAAGCCACATACCTAATGAAATTTTCACTTAAAGCAGTACTAAAGTCCGCTTCACTTCCATTCCAGCATTGGGATGTCTGCAAGAACTCTAGTGCTCGCTAACATCTTCGCCTGGTCTTTTTCCGGCCAATGTCCTCAAGCATTTTAATTGGTTGGCCCAGATTGCTGTAACTCCCATGCAAGTTAAAGTGATGCTAAACTAAGCTAAAACCTAAAAATGCATTTAAGTACCTTAACCATTATCAAAAATGTAGTTTATTGCTGTATCACTCAGCTGTAGATCCTCAAATCATCTCTGAATGTGTGCTGACACTGTCCTTCCTTCTGGAGGGTGGCTATTTTTTGTTTCCCATGGTCCCTGAGTGTGTTGTAAAGTTGCCACTGCTCCAAGCTCCCTCATGTGATGGACTACAATCTCACATTTAGTTTACTAATTTGTATTGAAAAGCCCATTTGAGGGCTTGAAAGTTTGGTTGAGGGCTAAAATAATCACACTGGCAACCTTGACAATTGGCATGCCTTAAAAGTAACTGTTTTTAGAGATGAGATAAATCGATGGGTAAAGTTCCTCTTTAAGTTAGTTCAGGCAGGTGGTACTTAAAGAATGCAGTGTAGGAAGTAACTGTCTTCGGAGATATTAAATATGATAAGATATGGTCCCTTTGTTTATTTAATGCCAATTTAGAACAAAGGGAAGTTACAAGTGTAAACCCCACACCCCAATTTCCTTCCCCGATCCATTAATATTTACCACTCAAGCTCTCCCCACCCTGCCTTCCTCTGTCACAGCAATGTACAAAATACCTGGTATTGGTTGATGTCAGAAGCTGGAGAGGTCAATGATGTCAACCCCTTGATCATGTGACAGTGCTCAGGAGCCTGCATCTTTGGAGTAGGTCACATGCTTCTCCATACCTAGATGCACAGGATATTTTGCAGCAGAGGACAGAGGGATTGGGGGTCACTGGAGTAGTGAGTATCAGTGGGTCGGGGTGGCTTTACAAAACTATTAGAGAACAGTTAAACACACAAGATCTGACTGCTAGCTCTGCTAATTTTGTCCATTAGTAGGATCCCTCAGGTAGCATAATTGTTCCTGCTTAGCCTATGGTGGATCAGTCCAACAGCTCAATGAAAAAAAGAAATCCAGATGACCATGCTAAATTATTACCTGTTGTGATGTTTGGGATAGTTAGCACAAATGGTGAGCGCTTAATGACCAGTCTCTAAGTCGTTTTATCATCAAAAAAGAAAAGTCTTTTATTTCTTCAAGAACAGAACAACGACTTTCTTCAGTAACATCAACATAAGGGTTGCTTGTCTTTCAGCAATAGACAATATGACAATGTCTCACCGACTCAAGATTGCTGCAAAAGCATACATCCTCTGTGTTTGGAATGTCCATTGGCATTATATCGCACAACTGTGTGACTCTGGCACAGTTATAATACTATACTGTTACCTATATGCTTTCAAGCCTTACTAAAAACACTATTTACACTGAAGTTATATAAAACAGTATATAAGCCACATACCTAATGAAATTTTCACTTAAAGCAGTACTAAAGTCCGCTTCACTTCCATTCCAGCATTGGGATGTCTGCAAGAACTCTAGTGCTCGCTAACATCTTCGCCTGGTCTTTTTCCGGCCAATGTCCTCAAGCATTTTAATTGGTTGGCCCAGATTGCTGTAACTCCCATGCAAGTTAAAGTGATGCTAAACTAAGCTAAAACCTAAAAATGCATTTAAGTACCTTAACCATTATCAAAAATGTAGTTTATTGCTGTATCACTCAGCTGTAGATCCTCAAATCATCTCTGAATGTGTGCTGACACTGTCCTTCCTTCTGGAGGGTGGCTATTTTTTGTTTCCCATGGTCCCTGAGTGTGTTGTAAAGTTGCCACTGCTCCAAGCTCCCTCATGTGATGGACTACAATCTCACATTTAGTTTACTAATTTGTATTGAAAAGCCCATTTGAGGGCTTGAAAGTTTGGTTGAGGGCTAAAATAATCACACTGGCAACCTTGACAATTGGCATGCCTTAAAAGTAACTGTTTTTAGAGATGAGATAAATCGATGGGTAAAGTTCCTCTTTAAGTTAGTTCAGGCAGGTGGTACTTAAAGAATGCAGTGTAGGAAGTAACTGTCTTCGGAGATATTAAATATGATAAGATATGGTCCCTTTGTTTATTTAATGCCAATTTAGAACAAAGGGAAGTTACAAGTGTAAACCCCACACCCCAATTTCCTTCCCCGATCCATTAATATTTACCACTCAAGCTCTCCCCACCCTGCCTTCCTCTGTCACAGCAATGTACAAAATACCTGGTATTGGTTGATGTCAGAAGCTGGAGAGGTCAATGATGTCAACCCCTTGATCATGTGACAGTGCTCAGGAGCCTGCATCTTTGGAGTAGGTCACATGCTTCTCCATACCTAGATGCACAGGATATTTTGCAGCAGAGGACAGAGGGATTGGGGGTCACTGGAGTAGTGAGTATCAGTGGGTCGGGGTGGCTTTACAAAACTATTAGAGAACAGTTAAACACACAAGATCTGACTGCTAGCTCTGCTAATTTTGTCCATTAGTAGGATCCCTCAGGTAGCATAATTGTTCCTGCTTAGCCTATGGTGGATCAGTCCAACAGCTCAATGAAAAAAAGTTGCAGTTAGACAACATTTACCAACATTTCCAATCACTTTCTCCCTTAATCATGACTGGGCAAGACTCCATGAGGGTGTCCTGTAGATATTAGATCTTCCCCGATCCCACTGACAATGCTATCTAATGTCTATCGGTACCTGTATTTAGAAGATATCTGGGGAGTTTTATTACTAAATGAAGCAAAATATATGAGTTCTTTATTCCAGTTGATGTATATGCTAGTTTATTCATGAATTCATTAATTCACTCTTTATTATATTATTTACTCTATCAATAATGCTAGATCATAAGCGCCACGGTGGAAAATGCAACTATAACGCTTAAGATAGACAACACCAGGCTGGCAGCTGATGACTTCCGAATAAAGTAAGGATAATTTTAGAATTTTTTGACATTTTAAAAGTTTCAAACCTGTTCTTAATGATTAAAGGGAAAGCAACAAGTTGGATTTAATTCCTTCCTCAATAAAAGTACATGCTCATCTTTCCTTTGTCGCCTCTGCCCCATTCAGCTGCCGGGTGACAAGTAGACATGTGCACTGGCAAAAAAATTGTTTAGTTTTAATTCGGATTTTGTGTTATTTCATTTTTCAGATTCGGGTGTGAAAGTCAATTCGGATTTGAACGAAATTCGTTAGCGGTAGTTCGTTTGAATGTTCGTTTTGTTTCTTATTTGTTCGTTGCAGCAAAGTGACATTTGAGGGGGAATTTTTTTTTTTCTCCTTCTCTAATGTCACTTTGCTGCAACGAACGAAACGAATAAGAAACGAAACGAATGCTCGAATGAACTACCGCTAACGGATTTCAGAAATGGAAATTTGGATTTGTTTGCATTCGTTATATCTGTAATTCGGAATTCGAAATGTCCGAATTTCGTTTCGCACATGTGACATAGCGACATTAGGAACATTTGACTCACTTCCTTTCCTTTTCATGTGACAACACTGGTGCTTGGCGGTTGGCCCAGCACTGCCACATGGGGACAGGGTAGGAGTCCTGCGTAAGCCCTTAAAAAGGGCATTCAACGTTCCTTTCCTCACTGTCAAAGGTTGATAAATGGAGCGACAGGGTAGCTAAGGCAAAGTGAGTATGTGCTGCTGGGGTAGAAGGCACGTTTTTTGCTCTAAGATGAATTCCTAGATCTCTTCCATGACTGTCAGTCTTCATTTGACTTCAACAATTGATACGTCTTATCTTTTACATTATTGCAGTAATCCTTCTTCCTAACTTTATTTTTTTAAATAGATGCAGACAGTATGATTTGATTTTAGAAATCATTTTATGATACTTTCACTGTGCTTTGACTTCCATTTAGAAATGTTGGTGTGGGTGGCACATTGTCAAGAAAAATTAAGCATGGTGAAATTACAGCTGTTAAAGAAAGATAGAATCCCAAAAAAAGTAGCAGTTGTAACTTGACAAAATTTCTCTCGTAGGTTTGAGAATGAGCAAGCCCTCCGTCTCTTAACAGAGAAAGACACCATTGAGCTGCGTAAAGCCATTGATCAGCTCACTCTTGCCAGGGCTGAGCTTGAAATGCAGATAGAGGGCCTGAATGAGGAGCTGGTTTACCTCAAGAAGAACCATACTGAGGTAAGCGGAGATTAAATATATGGTGCAGTAAAAGTATTCATACATTTGCTTATCAGGCATTCAATATAAATGATAATTGGCTCATGGTTACAATAAAAATGGCTTCTTTGTCTACTGGGATGAAAATTCCGGTTGTGTGAAAGCTGAATCTGCCAGTGTATGTCATGTACTGTACGACCTACTTCAGTGGACAACTTAGTAGGTTCACACATAGGTACATGATCACTGTGCATTAAATAAATACATAGAGAGGGGGGGAGAGAGAAAATCTATGCTAAGTGACTCTGTCAGTAATCTCATTGTCCAAAAAAAAACCTGCCCAGCTCCTTCAATCAAGAGTAATGGCTGGACAAAGTCTGTGCAAAAAATGGACTCTTCCGGCAATGTTGATCTGCTGTGTCCCCCACATCGTTCAATGGTTCCACCCCATGATCTGTCACTACAGGACGCAGTTGTGACATTGAATTCAGAAAGAGTTAATGCAACAGCAATAAAATGTCCGAAAGAGAGTAGGGCTCCCTAATAATGATGGTGTTGTTGGTGGGCAGAGCTGTTAACAAATATGGGTATCTTGCTGCCAGATTCCATAAGAAATAAGTAAGCAGGAGTAGGGATAAGCAAAACTAGCTGGGTTTGATTTGCTGGGAGTTTTACAAATCTTTCTTGAAATCTGCAAAACCCAAACTTAGCAGTCCCCATCGAAGTCTAAGAATCTCGATACTCAGTTTTGCCATTTTAGCCATAATTGTCACAAAAGGCATGTTGAGCTGGGCACTGTCTCAGGGAGACATTAAACAAAGCAAAAAAAAAAATCCTAATGAAAAAAGTTTTAACAGTATAGCTTGTTAGCTTTTTTCCACATAACCACACTGCATTGTTTTAAAAATGGTAATAAGGTCAAATCAGAGAGCAAAATGCACGCTAAAAACACAACCGCACATTTCCTGAACCCCTCTCATCCCCGTATCCTAAGTTATATTCTTCAGGTATGTGTTTGGAACAATTGGCTAGCAACGGGACAATGCATAATCACCTGAATAGGCATCAAATAGAAAGGGACAAGGCAAGTTTTATCTTGCAATAAAAATTAGATTGTATAATTTGAGAGACAGTAGTCATGAATATTGTTTAGTTGCTGGACAGTCCAGTGGTCTAAACAAGATGTGCGCAAGCAAAAAAATTCATTTAGTTTTGCTTTGTATTTTTTGTTATTTCATTTTTCAGGATTTGAGTGCAAAAGTCAATTCGTTTCGGGATTTTAATTTTAGACTAATCTGACATTTTTGTTAATTTTGGATGTGTTAGATAATGCAAACACATCTTCGTTTTCCAATTTTCGTTGACATTAGAAAAAAAAGGTGACATTTTTCTTTTTAATTTTTGACAGTCCACAGAAACAAAAAACAAACAAACAAAAAATGCTTGGGGCCCCTTCCTGCACCATAACTGGCCACATGTCCTAGACATGGGGAGGGTGGTTTGTCAGGGGGGACCCCCTGGCAAAGCACATTGTCCCCATGTCGATGAGGACAAGGTCCTCTTCCCCACAACCTTGGCCCAGTGGCTGTGGGGGTCTGTGGGCAAGGGGGTTATCTGAATCTGGGTGCCCCCTTTCATATTTCACCAAATAAAAACAATAGTAAATAAACACAAGGTTTGTTGACAAGTCTTTTGTTTAAAAAAAAAAAAAAACCTAAAAAATGTTGATTGAGATAATCCAAAGGTCAATCACGTCGACCACTGATGTAGATCCAGGTCAATCACGATGGATGCCAACTCGCCGAACGAGAAAAAATACCCGACTGTGCTGCTTTAGTGTGTTAGGCAGCGCAAGGTATTAACTTGTGCATGGAAAAGAACAAAGCATTGCTGCAACACAAAGGTGTGAAGCCAGACTAAAGCCCATTGCACCATAGCAAAAAACACCTTAATGTCATGTTCCCCAAAGACTAACACGGTTTATCAAAATAAGGAAATTTTGGTGAAATTTCCTAATTTTACCAAAATAAAAACTCACAATTTCGCTCATCCCTAATACTTACAATTGCGTAAAGCCTTAGACAGCCGCTTAGTCAGTATAATCTGTTAGTAGGGGATAGCCCATTCTGACTGTAACCTTACTGACACTCTTTAAATAGGTAAAAAAATGACATAATGACTAAATTACACAGAGTATTACACATCATTGTCAGTCAGCTCTGCATTTACTGAATTGCCAACAGATATTTTAAAAGGAGTGGTAACTAAACATAGCGCAATAAGATTGCATTTGTAGCGTCACCTCCTCAGTAATTACAACCAGATTCCATCAAATATGTCATACTTTGGACAATTAACCTACCAGAGAATCCTCTGATAGAAAACTGGTAGCTCTGACACTGGCCAGAAGGACTAGAGTGACTGTCAAGATTTGTGCACTATTGAAATGTGTGTCAAAAAAGATTTTTTTTAAACCCATATTCAGTTCATGTCTCCAACACATGCTCATAGCGCCATTTTTATCCCTTTAAAAAACATGGCAAGTACAGAAAATTACCTGAAATCCAGTGAACTCTTTTCTGGGCTAACAACACAGTGCCCTTTCTGCACTGAAATCCCAACCAACTTTCTCAGTAGGGTTGCTACTGTTTCTTGTGAAACCTGAATACTCCAGCACTGCACAGGAATTATTATTTTTTGGGAGGATATACAGGAGTGAGCAAGGAGAGCCAGCCAGGAGAGAGAGAGACAGCAAGGACAGACAGCCAGGAGAGAGGAGAGAAAGCCAGGGGAGAGAGTGAACAGAGACAGCCAGGGGAGAGAGTGAGCAGAGACAGCCAGGGGAGAGAGAGAGTGAGCAGAGACAGCCAAGGGAGAAAGCGAGCAGAGACAGCCAGGAGAGATAGTGAGGACTGACACCCAGGAGAGAGAGTGAGGAGAGACAACCAGAGAAGAGAGAGAGTAAGTAATGACAGCCAGGAGAGAGAGAGGAGAGACAGCCAGGGGAGAGAGTGGAGAGATAGCCAGGAGAAAGAGCAAGGAGAGAGTCAGGAGAGAGAGCAAGGAGAGTGAGGGTAGAGAGCCAGGAGAAAGAGCAAGGAGAGAGGAGAGAGAACAAGGAGAGTGAGGGGAGAGAGCCAGGAGAGAGACTGAGGAGAAATGGTGATGAGTGGCATTTTGTGTCTATGATTCAGGTCCATACACTGCAGAAATTAATAAACAGGCCAAAGCACAAAGTGTCTGCAAAAGTCACAGGTTGTTTCCTAAGATCCATGTTTTTTGGCATGAGGGACATTAAGGGCAATATGGAAAAAAAACAATACTCCCAAGGGTTCCTCCTGCACCCCCACAATCCTGGCTCTGAGTGTATAAATGTGGCATTGCACACGCAGTATATTGTAGTGTATGTGTAAGATGGAGAGAGAGGGAGAGAGCGAGAGAGGGTGAGAGAGAGAGACTGGAACCATCAGTGTCCAGTCATAGTGGAAGTCTACACCCGTACAGTGCAGGAAGCATGGCTGCATACGAGCAGGAACACCAGGACCCCGTGGTTGCCCCTGTCTGCCTGACATTTGACATCTTGTGTCCAGGTTTCAGCTAGGCTGAAACCTGGACACAGCAGGTACAGGACTTAAAAACTAGACTGGTGAATCCCAGACAGTTGGCAACCCTAATTGTCAGCCCTGCCTCTCAGTCACAGCATCACTGGTTCCTAAGACACTGGTAGGCCCAACGGTGTCATTGATTGTTATGGTGTGCATCCTGAGCAAGTTGCACAGCATCACTGCTTGCTTGGACACAGACGGCCCTGGGTTTTCATGCATTTTTCATGCATTTTAGCACCTAACAAACCGCTCCTCCTAGTAACCTGCTCTCAATTCTTGCTCTCAAGAAGACAACGCTCTTCGTGAACCTAGCCTAACTCACATAAAGTGATTTAACATAGCAAACAATCTCAACTCTCTAAATCAATCAGCATACCACACATACAGCTGAGTTTAATCCATCAATCCTATCTTTTTGTGTATAGATAGAGAAGAAAAGTGTTGTTATCAGCTTTTAATCCCTGTCTGTGTCCCTGTTTTAGGAAATTTTGACTACAAGATTTTTTTCATCCTCCAACTAGCACTCACTTCATTTTCCACAGAACAGATTCTTTTATAGCCTTAGACAAAGAAGGGCGTGAACGAAAGGGTTTGTGGAGAGATGTACATCGAGCCATGCGTAAAATATATCTCGAATTTATTGTACATAAAAATCATTTTAGTTGATAAGAATCATAAATAACATCATTACATACATTAGTGGATATAAAATCCCAATTTTAACCAACATGATTTATCCCTTCTTAATAGGCAGCCCATAATGCATAAATTGATTTAATAAAATAAAATTCTGATACATATCAGCCGTAATTGATTCCAATTGATGCATTCATTATGTAATCTCCAAAGTATGTATATCAACATTCATCCCTAGGCGTTTCGCCTTTCAAGCTTCTACAGGGGATAGGATTCATCTATTAAATGGAAATTGTACATAAGGTTATTGTATTTCCTTAGTTTGGGCATGCCCATCTTGCTGTAGTGCCTATGTTAAGTGGGGGAACACATTGCTGGAATTAACCCCCATGTGCGGAAAACCACACACGGGGCAGGTGTCTGGTACTCACCTGTATGGAGCACCTGGAGGTGGGTCGACGTGAGGAGGACTGGGATGAGGTAGTTGGCTAAATCTAGCCCTGCCATCACATACCGTCCATCATCTCTACCAGGACCCGAGGGCCTCAAAGGAAGGAATGCCCTAGGCAGTGCAAGAGAGCCAGATCCCAATCGGAGCGATGACCTGTAGAGAGCATATAGCAAAGATCAACTAATGATATTGCTTGTTATTTGATAGACCCAGTGAGTGACATTGTACAAATTGCAAAATAACTTAGTTTGAATATATATATGTATACATATACATACACACACACA